TGAAGTCAAAGATCTTTGCAACTGCTTATCGGAGTCCCAGGGTTAAGAGCATTACGGTTTTCTTAGTATTCTTAATTTCAGTCTGCAGTACTGACTCTTTCAGCCTCTGACATTTCAGACCAGGCTATGTAATAACCATCCTCCAGGTAGCTAAATTTACTCCTAAATGGTCCTGAATATTAATAAACCTGTAGGTGTGAGAGGGCATAAAGCTCTTGTCCTTGGCTAAACCCTTAACTGTGCGTTCCATATTTCAACTAGTTTGAGATAGGATTTTTCAGTATTACTATTCCTTTCAGTCATTCATTAAATCTCAGCACAGAAGCTTTTGTGATTTACTTACTCTTGATTTACTCACTGGCACTGAAGTAATGGCATTCACAGATAAACAATGAGAACAGGGAACGATGTGAGGTAAAAATAATCTGTAAAATTTTACATAGCATAGGCTCACATTTTCACGTGCTTCTAGGTAAAGAGGACTCTCATGGTTATTTTCTTGTGAGCTTTAGGTGCTTAGAGCCCTGAAGCCTGAACTGTGCTGAAGTCAATTTTAAAAATGGAAATTCAGACACTTATGTTAATAAAAAGAACAGATTCCTTATAAAGTGATTTAAGCTTTTGACTTCACGTCTTTTCAAAGAGGTTTGTGCAGCTGAACAATTTGGGTATGTGTGCTTCGTTATTAGCCACAAGAATGTCTTAACTGTGGAGAAAACTTCTCAGGTCTTGCTCCTCAGTGCTGGTCTTATGTTTATAAAACTACCTTAATTTTTGAAAAAAAAATAGATATATTAACATAGAAATCCTCCAAAATGCTTTGAAGACAGTCTAAAAACTGCCTTTACTGGGAGCAGAAGGCAGAAGCAGGGGCTCCTAAGAAGCATGATGTCAGCTGTCAGAGAGTATCAGGTCAATACTCTATCTTTAGAGATTAGGATAGAGGTTACTAAGGGCAGATCCATTCAGTTTTGGTGTTCCTGGTACAACTGGAGACAATGAGTGTGAGACATTAAATTTACCCATAGCATCCTTGCATTGATTTAGCATATGAAAAGTCTTCATCTCTTAAAATACAAAGCCAATTGTAACATTCCAGTACTAAAATGACAGATGTAATTCTTCTAGTTATATTAACTTTATTTAGCTATTCTTAATTTTATATAACTTTAATTTTTCTTAAAATAAAGACGTATACTATTCAAATACAACATTCTTGACATGGCCAGTTCATTCTTTTTCTTCCAGTTCATTTCAGATCATCATATTTATACCATTTGCTTACTGACCTCTCACATCGGCTTTTACAGCAGCTTTCAAGAAGGTAACTGATTTCATGGTTCAAAGTAATGATGATCCTTCAGAACAAAGGTTTGAAGCCAGAGATAGTTGGAAAAATGCAGATTGCATAAAAATATAAATATATATCCCTCCCACAAAAATACCATCTCTTCGGGTCAGAACAGAATAATCATTCTTTAATACATTGTATAGAATTTAAGAAAAACATCCCTGAACCTATTTGTTTTTCCAAGTTCATACCCAGCCATTTCCCTGCAGGCTGATTTCACACTGTTACTCCAGTGAGTGACTGTCTTCGATGAAATGATGTGTTTCCTTGTGCTTTAGGCTTCCTCTTGGCCCTGGAGTGTTACTGTAACATGAAATATGATGACACATTTTTCTTTTATAGGGCTCTCCATACTGGATGTATTGACAAGAAGGTGTAAAGTGTCTTCTGTCTGTTAGCTCCTTTGTTAGCTGCTGTGGACATGCCCTTGACTGGAGGTTCCCCTTGCCCAATCAGATTGCTGTGCCAGTATTTTCCTTGATATATATGTGACAAAGCTGTTGCGCTGACATCCCGAGTACATCGACTTGTTACTGAGCAAGGAGGGGTAGAACAGCAAGGCACAGAAAATCCACTATACATTCTAACATTTAGGCTTTATCCTTTATTAGGTAGTGAGTAAGAGACATAAAAAGAACTGAGTTTGTTGTTTACAGCTGAAATTTAAAAGACTTGTGTGAACAAAAACTTGTTCCATAGAGCACTGTGACAAAAGAGGTCCAAGAAAACTGAAGGTGTCATTGCAAATTAGCTGATGTAAGTAGTTGGAATGACACTCTTTATTTATAGCAAAACCTGTATTAACCCTGCCCTTAGTACTGTGCCTCCATACATGCCACAGGCCACATTTTGGCAAGGATCAGCCTGTCGATTTTGAAGGCATCACAACAACATGGCAGGATGTACAGCAGGTGTCCATGCACCAGAAGGCCATGCATAAGAGCCTACAGGATATTTGTGGGTCTACCCTTTTCCCATCCATGTGTTTTTTCACTGTGAGAAGGTCACCTGCCTAGACCTTCTCCCTTCCTAGAATGGCAGTCCTCCTCTGCTTGTTTAGGAAGCTCTTACTTACACAGGTTATTACAAAAGGCTCTGGAGAGAAACAATAGTTCATGGAGCACAGCTTGACAACTGGTGCTCTGTTCAAGGAAGAATCTGAACACCGCTGGCAATGGCACTACATCTTCTGCACAAAGATGGAAGGTTGAAAGCAGGCTTAAAAGACCAAGGCCAAGATTTTGCAAAGAGGAGTTGAATCTTACCACACTATATTTATGTTCCCAAAGAAAAGGGAACATCTAAATTGAGTGTTAGGTGCAGGTTTTGAAGGCTGGCCAGTTTACTGCCTCTTTACTGGGAGCTGTAGAGTAGGGAGCCCTTTCAAATGTCAGCCCCTAGTTATTTAGGTGCCTAAACTTGGCTTCAGGAACTTATTCATACTCTTCTTGTTTTAGAAATTGGCCCAAAGCAATCCAGCTAGTAACCAGCTCTGAAAACATCATTGCATCTTTTTCATGGCTACATAGGAGTGAATTAAATATAACAAAAGCCCATTTCATTTCAAGGCACAAACGTTTGCAAATAAAGTGGATGAAATACAAATACATAATATAGAACTTATTTTAATACTTGTAGATAAATAAATGCATCTCTTTGGAATTCTTTGGACACTGATATCCATGGAACCTCTTCTTTCTCTCTTTTTATATATATATTTTTTTTTATAAAATCTAAATGCAGAGAGGTTTAAAAAATGGCAAATATAAATGTATATGAAAGGCTCACTGATGAACTGCAAGTCAAAAGTGCTGTATATTCCCATCCTCTGTATCTCCCAACTGTACATATTAACCAGAGGTAGTGTTATATAGCAACCACATGGTCAATATTTTGCATTACTATCTCTTAATAAAATCTTTCAAATCATTTCTCCATCTCAACTAAATTATGTTTTTAAATTTTATTCCTTCTAAATGTATGGTAGGCTTTTCACTTAGCTACACGTCAGAGTGGTCGCATGTGACTCAGCAGTGCACTCCATAATATTAATAGATACTTTTCAGCTCCCGATGGGAAAAAGCAGGCAGCAAGAATCAGATTCAAGAAGTCTATTTTTTTCTTTGCTGTTTGTTACTTACCACTTAATGACCCACATGTGAAACTCAATGGTTATATAATTATTTTATATAGTAGATTTTCTGTTTATAAGTTATTTTTCTTACTCTAACATATATACAATATATCTATATATACCCCTGATAAATCTTACTTTAAAGGGACACAGTCAACCCCTTTAAGCCTCACAGTAAATATATAAGGCTTTAAGCTGTCCATACATAAAGGTCAGCGACAGAATTCAAGGGTCCCTTCAGATCCTAAAGGTTCTATTTGTTCCAAACCCACGATGTGCAGTATAATATGTATCTCATGTGTTGCTGTTTACATTTTGTAAGTATAGTAAAACATTTTATATCACATCAGTAGGGAATAAAACAAGAACAAATCTGCTTCTAAGACTAAGCCTATTACAAAATGTTACCTGTACCTACAGACGCTCCCACTGGTGTGATATAAAGAGAATATGTGCCATTTTGGGGATGAAATTCTGGCTACATTGCAGTCAGGAGAAACTTTATACTGACTTAAATGAGGCCAGGATTTCTCTCCTGCTTTTCATTTGCTAGTTATGACTATGCATAACCCATTTGTGTCTTCCCGCTGCTCAACACTAAAGTGTCAGGCCTTTTTTGTGGCAAGAGTGTATGTTTTTGCTGTCCACTGGCATGCCCTAGACATTGATCTATCCTGTATGTATTACACCTTTTGAATATACACACACTGTACACATACGTTCTCAGTTAAATGTTTGACCTGCTCTGTGTACAGCATCTGGTTTATTTCCCCCACACACTAAGTCTTTTTTATAATTTACTTTGCCCTAAACATATATTATCTCCACATCCATTCTTCTACGGGTGAAGAAAATTTTTGCTCACCAGGAACAGCTCCACATTATTGTCATAATTTTTGACTACTTACCAAAGTGACATAATTTGTTCATTTTATCTTTTGCAACTCAGTTAGAAAGCTAGTGGCATAGATAGAGACACAATACTACTGTTTTACAAGACATCTATTGTATCTACTTTTGTTCAGATAAATACCCAGTAACTGCTGATTTGGCAGGAGGATTGGTAAGGGTACTACTATTCACAGTGTTTCTTTTTCTCCTTCTTCTTTAATCTACAGAATAAAGTACTTTATGTACATTGGAACCAGTTAATGCCCTTTAGACAAATTTGTAAGTTGTTTCATAAAGCAGGAAAGACATTGCAGGGAAATATGTGCCAAAAAGCACAGTCAAAAGGCTTCATAAGTTTTATATGTCACTACAAGACAATGCTGGAGATCAGTTCTAAAACGACAAGTACTCAAGAGGAATGTTCTCATCTGGAGAAAATACTGCCCATTCCCCCTTTTAGAATTTGTTCAGTTCTCTATCAAAAGTCCTGGCTCTTCATATATACTTTAAACTATAAATAAACACTGCATAGTTCAATGTTCTTGATTTTCTTTTTTTGTTTGTTTGTTTTGTTTTGATTTGATTTGAAAAATTATTGCAGTACAATTAATTCCTGTTTGGAGTTCAGTAAGGAGCAAACAGCACAGGAGTATGGGTGGTCCGTATAGGCCCTGGAGCTGGTCGGAGGAGTGCTGGAGGAAGGGCTGAAGTCTGGAAAAGGGTGGCTGCTGGGGCTGTGCGAAGACTGAAAGGGGAATTCAC